GATCAGATTTAGTGTTGCAATAATAAAAATTGTACTACCTTATACAGAGTGCCCAAAAATTTATATTAAATAATTTCTACCTTTAACCGGCAATAATTTGTTTAATTTAAATGGAACACCCTATATATATAACGAGAATCAGATGCACAATTTAATTGTCTATAAAATTGTGTTATACCATTTTTCACCTATCTCTTCAAGTTTTCGTAGAAAATGCTTTTTCTTATAATTCTTAATCAAATTTACCTTTATTTCAATTTTTTCAGAATCTAAAAATAAAATAATATACAAGGTATTCCATTTAAAAAATACAACTATAATATTTTTTACTTTGGGGACACAGTGTCCCAATAATATTGTAGAATTATTTTTAAATTGTAGCTCTACTAGTGCTTCAACGAACCCAAAACTTACAATTTGTAAAAATCTAATCGTTTAGCTACAATTCTCCGTGTCGCATGTGGTGAACAACTCTGTATATCTCCAATCAAAGAAGCTCTATCACAAGCATCTTCTGTTGTACGATACAAAATTAAAAAAATCGTTTTATTTTTAGGCAATTTTTTGTCTACGTACATTGTTAAAATTCGACAAAGAAATCAAATTTGTCGAGAATATGAAAGCCAACCAATGGTCCTTACGAACTGTTGGACCTGATGGAAAAAAATGGTTAAACAAAATTGGCTTTATTAGATGCCTATTGATTGATTTTATATGCATACTTTTTTTCATGCTTCTACTTACAGCTTGTATGGAATACAAAAATATGCTTTTAGCAGCCTTTTTATACGATTTGAACAACAATTTATTAATATTGTATTACATTGTTATTATTCCTTTCTCAATACCTACGGGATACGTCGTAGTGATATATCCACTAATTACAGCTTATATAGTAACAATAATGATTACTCAAGTATATTTGTTTCATTATCACGTAGAAAGGGCTAATATGATTGCTAGAAGATATTTTTATGAAGGGCAAGACTATAATGCGTTCGTAAAGATGGTTTTGGCTGTACTGATTGACAGACAATGCGTTTTAAAAAGGTGATAATGTTTTGGTAATATTTTATTTCTTACTGAATTAATATAAGCTTATATCGTCTTGGTTACGCTCACCATAAATAGAGGCATAGCTCCCTTGGGATATTATTAACGAGAATTAAGATGCCACAATTTCCTCTATTTTTTATAGTAGTGGAGTGCTTTACGCCCTTATGGGATACAAACCTGGGAATTTATCTACTGTGAACGAATTTTTATTTTGCACTGTATTGTTAATAAGATATATTACAAAGTTTACCCATTTAAATTAGTTGCTTTCACTTTAGTATTAGTATTTAAATAAACACACATATACAAATGCATACATACAAGATGGCTCCGTCTTCCGGAAAAACTCTGTATCAGGATTCCTATTTGAGATTTTCACTCCAAACCTTTTTTAAAATATGTGTTTAATGGTAGTTCACATTTCAAAAATATTTTTATAAATATACAGGGTGAGTCAAATATATTTTTACACTTAAGTTTTAGTTTTTCATATGAATTTTATATTTGTTTAGTTCAGTGAACTTGCTATAAGATTCCGGTTCCAAAAATACCTTAATACCATGCAGACTAAGTGGTTTTGGAATTATGACCACGTCTATGTGGACGTAAATCTAGACGCCCAGGAACCTTCGTATGGGAACTTCTAATCTAATCTAAATAATAAAATTATTGTAAGTTTATCGCTAAGAAACCGCCGGCGCCGGCGCCGTTTGCGACCTTTTTAAATTGATAATGAATTGCACCTAAGGACCGTACATATTAACTAACGGACTATAAGAAGAAGATTAAATGAAGCAAATTTTATGTCAAAAAGGCCTGCTTCGGGATCAAAACTTACTAGATTTGTTGACTAGGACCATAGATTTAAAATACATTTTAAGTCTATGACTAGGACCAAAAGCAAAGGCATGGTCCTAATGTAAAAATTACGGAAAAATGTTAGTGTCTTCTTCAAAAGCGAACATTTCCAACAAAAATAAAGCTAATGAGATGTATCTAGATGATCTAATGATTTTTAAATTTCTTGCTATTTTAACAGATTTCACAGGGTGTTTCAAACTTTCATCAAAATATCAACATTTTTTTTTCCACGTATAATTAACAGATGGGGAGTTTCATTTGTAATTTAGAAAGAGATACTAAAAAGTCAAATAATTTGGCTACACACTGCTTAAAAGATCATCAAGATCGGTCCATTAGAACAAAATATATTAAACTCTTTAAAATAGATCAAAGTTTTAAGGTGCTCATTTTTCTAGCTAGCTCACAAAGTTTCACTTCAATACAAACTTTTGTTCTCCTTGCAAAAACGCGCCATCCTGTAAATTCGATTTCAATCAAAATTTCAATGATAAGAATATAAGAAGAATAGGTATAACTTATGTATTAGATTCATTTATTTCAATAGTTTTACTAAGAAAAAGAATTAAAGAAATCAAAAAATTAAGAAGAAAATAATTGGAAATAATTAAGAAGTTACTAAAATTACTAAAATAAAATATTAAAAGCAACAAAAAAATTGGGTAAACATTTTGGTATTTTATCTATAAAACACAATACAGAAGGTTTGACATTAATACGTTCACAGTAATTGAATTCCGAGGTAAAAGCGGGTAAAAATTTCTTGGCACTCCACTATAGGTAACAACCATGATATACAATAGAGATTTTGAGTAATAATATAAAATAAAAAATGACACTCATTTACCTACTCTAATAATTTATTTAGATCATTAATATCTCATATAATAAATTTACAAGAGAATAGTTGCATTTATATTTTATCGACCATCCACTGCTACTAGGGTTTCTATAAAGTATAAAGGCTTTTGTAATTTCCGGATAAGTGAACTCAAAAAATCCGCACTAATAAACTCGGAAATCGGGACAAAATCCGGACGCAGCAAAAGAAACTTATAAATTTATTTATGAACTTTTATAGGACGCATATAATAGCCCCGAAATCAACAAAATATAAACAAAAAAACATTCACTTTCCAGGAGTGCACCAAAAGCGAAAAATTTGAGCGTCAAAGTATAGAAATGTGTACTTTCGAACATGCGTCGGTTAAGTAGAGCTGTATCATCCGTAGAGACTAAAATATTCAACAAAATAACTGAGAAATTAATTCAATTATAACTGGGTAAAATATTTTACTAAGTTAAATTGTTTTTGGGGTCAGGTTTCCCGGACGCTTTTCCAAATTCGGGCCGGACCGCTCCGCAGTGGTTTCTCTTAATTAGCTGCGCGGTCATAACTGTTAGATATCTAGATATAGCTTGACTGCACCTTTTTTAATAGAAATTGATAACAAATGCTAAATAAATGTATATAAAAAACTTAATGTAATATGTATTAAAAAAATTGGGCCCAGTTCGTGTGATTTGCATTTTAAGTTCTAACTATTCGGAAAGGTATATACAGAATACAGATTATGTTTGCACATATGTACATGTTTTTTAATATTGAAGAGGTCAAATTTATTTTAAATGTTGAAAAAATAAAAGAGACACAGTTGTTTCATTTTATAAATACAATTTTATTGTCAATTGATATACAGTGTGTCCACGAAATAAGTTGACACGAAGAGGAAAAAATAAGTTACTTTTATTTTAAGACAAAAAGTCCACCCGGTATAAGATCCGGCGGCAATTCGCGGCAGCAAGTGGCAATTAATTTATATGCCATATACTTTAAGCAACAAGTATTATCATGCCGTTTAAAAGGATTTGAAAGGGAAAGTAGTTAAAAGTCTTAAAGAGTGACAAGCAAAAATGTAAAAATACTATTTTTGTTGCCTTCAAATAAATTGCCATAAACTAATATTACTTAGGTTTAATTAAGTACAAAAAAGAAAATACAGTTCTTTTTACCTTCTTTTCGAACGTCCATTACAGAAAAGGCAACAGCTTTTATCAATTTTAATAAAATAAGTAATTAATTGGCGTTATCTGAAAACTGTAGGATACCAGTAGCAAAAATGTGATATTTCTATTAAAAAAAGCGCTCCACTAGGCTTACTTAATTTTCTTATTTATTATGTATCGTTTACAGGGGAATACAAAAAAAGTATTAGCAACAGTTTCATGCCAACATTTTGAAATTAATATTTCTCTAAGTAATGACCTATCTGGGAACCACTGTGCGCTCCGGACACTTTAAAAATCCGGACATGTCCGGGTAAATCCGGACTTATGGAAACACTAAAGCTTCATTCATAACCTCGCAATTAGTGGAATAAATTAGTGGTTATGAATTAAGCTTAATTCAGAACCTCCCAATTAGTGGTTTGTACACTTTATACTTTTTAGTTTACGATCATTCACAGTGTCTAAAAAACAATTAAAATTAATAAGATATCCTAGTAACAGCTTGCGGTAGTCTGTTGTATCCATAAAGAAAGCATAATATTTAGCTTATAAAACAATAAACTTTTAATTTCTAACCAAAGATATTTAAACTCAACCTAACCGAGTTTAAATATCTTTGTTTCTAACGAAAATTTTTCTTGATGGGTAATAATCAAAGGCCAAAATGACATTCCTCGCAAATTTTGAAGTATAATTAATGGTAGTGGAAAAGTCAAAAGTTTGTTAACTTTTTCCACTAACTGAAAATTACTACCACTAATTATGACGTTCTGAATGCTTATATTAAAATTAGGTAAACAAACTTCTACGGCTAATTGAAACTACTAATTTATTCTGTATACTGATTTCGAAGTTCTGAATGAAGCTTTAGCTGTGGCTTTAGCGTAGAAGTTTGTTCCTTTAATTTCAATCTGTGATTTCAATGTAAGCATTCAGAACGTCAAAATTAGTAGTAGACATTTTCAATTACTAGAAAAAGTCATCAAACTTTTAACATTTCCACTAATTATACTTCAAAATTTGCGAGAAATGTCATTTTGGCCTTTGATTATGTTCCACCAAGAGAAATTGTGGTTATAAATAAAAATTTGATTGTTTTATAAGTTAAATATTATGCCGGGTCCAGACCAAGTAGATAAAACAATGAAGCTTAACTGCAACAATATTTTTCTGTCCCAGCCACTGAAGGTATAGTTTATATTCCTTTTGGTAAATTTATTCATTTTTAGATGTCGTGCTTGTCGTGCTTCTTCAGCTAATATTTTCTCCATTTTAATGTCGAAGGTGTGCCGAATTCGTGTAAAAGACATTTTTTTTGACAAAAACTTGAACACGAATAACCACAACCGTTAATTTATAAACAGGTCATTTAATAAAGGATTTAATACAATAGTAACTTGGCAACAAGCAAAATTCCTAGTATAGTCTATAAAATGAATAACTTTGAATTTTGACCATTATTTTTTACCAACAGGGCAAATATAAAATCCCTCTATCAAAAAAGTTACTGATATTCTTTAAATTGAGTGCCTGAATGAATCAGATAGGTAACTCTTTTTACTTTCGTGAAATAGAAAAGGAAAATAATAAAACAAGTGACAGTTCTTCCTCTTTTTGCAAAAATCAACACGAAATGTCATAATTGACAAAAGTAAAATGTCATCAGCTTTTGACATTTCAAAATATTAGACCAATGCCGTCTCTAATAGAACAGCCTCGGAGCAAGATTTATGATGTCACGCTAGTTAGATACTACGGATTAATAAATATGTTGGAGAATACATGGAAACATAATTATTTCTCGTATTTTTGGTTTGTATTTTTAAAATGATATAGTTTACTTAAAATATACATAATATACAGTTAATAAATACAATATAATATATACATATTTATAGTAATACATACTTTGGCAAATAAAACTATGAACCACACAAATGCAGCAAATGTTTTACAATATACAAATAATGAATAGGTGGTACATAAGATAATGGGTAAAATGCAAAATATATTTTAAATTTTGGGGGTTCGAAAATCGATCTAATTTAACAAAAAACATTCAATATCTACTAATAGTGATGTACAATTTATTTATATATTATAATGTTTACTGCAATTAATAAACTAATATAAACTTGTCAAAAGAGGACCACATATTTTTTAAATTATTATTCTTAACACAAAAACTATGTACATTGACTATAGAGTACGATTTCAGCCATATTGTAAAACATTTGCTGCATTTGTATGGTTCATAGTTTTATCTGCTAAAGTATTTATTACTATAAATAGGTATATATATATATATATATATTGTATTTATTAACTGTATATTATGTATATTTCATGTAAACTATATAATTTTTAAAATACAAACTAAAAATACGAGGAATAATTATGTTTTCCATGTATTCTACAACATATTTATTAATCTGTAGTATCTAACAAGCGTGACGTCATAAATCTCGCTCCGAGGCTGTTCTATTAGAGACGGCATTACGTCAGCATGGCCAAAGGCATGGCCGCAAATTGCTAACCTAATAAAATTAACACTATAAAAGCCCGCGGGAACTGTCAAATTCAAAGTTATTCGTTTTACAGACTATAGCAGCGTTAATACAAATATACTTGAAGATTAATAAATGCAACATTTATGATTTATGTCATTTTAAAGTGGGGCAAAATATACTAAATTCAGTAAAAAATAAAATTAGCTATGTACCACGAGAATTATAAAGTGTTAATAACCTCGGGAAACTATTATCTCGCGGCCCAAAGGCATACACCCTTATAATTCCTTTGATACATAAATAACTACAAAAAAATATATAAATGCATTGAATCTTTAATTTTTGTATTTCCATGTTGTATTTTAGTTGGTATATATTCTATAAAGAAGCCACTGGGTTAGTTAACATACAGTATATAACTGCACACATAATTTTTGGCGCATTTGCAATATACCTTTATTTGAAAGTAAGTTCCCCATGATGAGTAGTTGAATTACAATTATCAAAATATTTTTTTTCAGAATCATGTTAATGGAGCCACACTATTATGCCAATTTCTGTTATTGGCCACAATTTCAAGTTTTTCTACTATATGTGCTCAACATTGCGAAGATGAGGTACAGTATAGTATAACCAGTAATGATTGAATACACATAACTCATAAATATCAAAAAGTTTAATATTGAATTATTATTAATATTTTTAGTGGGAAGTGTACTATACTAAGCTATGCTCTTTTCAGTGGTACAATTGGAATGTAGAGAATCAGCAAACTTTACTGATAATGATCAGGGAATCAGCAAAACCTACGAAACTTTTTGTGTTGAATAGGATAGCTATCAACTATGATTTACTTGTTGGAGTAGGTCAAAATCTATAGAAAATATTCTATTTATGAATAGTTAATATAGTTTTCCTGGTGTATGTACAATCGCAATTAAGAATGCTATATTAATTGTAGAATTGTATTTATAATTAATTGTATTTATAATTAATCTTAAAATATTGATCAGTTTTAATTTTAGGTTTGGAAAATGCTATACTTTTTTATGAATACTTTTTATAAACTTCAAAGAAACTAGGGTGTGTATAAAACTGCATATTATTATAGGTTAATAATTTTATAATGTTGATTTTATCGAAATATAATATACCGATTTGGAACAAAATACCTTTTTTTATTTCTTTTATTAGCCGCCTGCGGACCCGGCCTTTGGACTCGGCCTTTGGACCCGGCCTGTGGACCCGGCCTTTGGACCCGGCCTTTGGACACCGGCCTTTGGCCTGCCTATTAGATCTTTCGGCGTTGTATAGCAGTTTTGGTTTGACCCGCGATCTTTTAAAATTTCTGTTTTTAAAGTTTCCCGAATACAATTCGAACTACCCTGTATATTGATCGAAAATAAAAGAAATACAAAATCCAATGTAGAGTTTTTATTGTGTCGCTCAGTATTTATGTTATTTAATTAATTAAATCTATATATCATTAGAGGTAAATTTAACTACAAACAACATAAAAAGGTACTTACAATGTTTATTTATTTGAATAAGTTCATTAAGTTATTTGAAAATATTAATTTTATTTCTCTAATAATGGGATTGTTTAAAATAAAACTACAGTTAAATATTAAAACCATATAAAACGTTGGAAAATCCCATACCATATCGATGAATCCCTGATATCCCTAAAATTGGGAGTAGATGTCATACTTGGCTCTGACTTTTCCTTATTTTTTAACGGCATTTTCAATCAGTTGGACTTAAGAAGGTTGTATTTTATTTTTAAATTGAGCAAAAATTATTTTAAAATGTGTAGTTTAAAATTCGAGAAAAATAATTTTTTAGAAATAGATTTGTGTCTGGAAACGTCCTAACCTTTCTATAATTTTTATAAAGTTTTATGTCAATTTTTCGTAAACGACGTTTAGAGATTGCCCCCGCCAAAATTATAATCGATTGTCATTTTCCAGCCGTCTTTGACGCCGTTTTTTTACAAACCGTACATACGGTAGAATATGGATATCCTTTTCATAGATGACGATTATGAAGTGAGTCCACATTTATATTTTTTATCTTTTCATCTCCTGTTAAAAACTCCTTTAATGAGAAAAATTTTGTGGCTGTGTTATTATATCAACATTGCCACTTTTGGTATGGAGATTCTAATTTTTTGTATAACTAACAGAACTTTAGCTAGATTAGTTCAGCATGGATATGGATTTTTATTTTTACTAACTGTAAGTAAATAGCTTTTAGTCTATTGTAAAATTGAATGACAATAAAAAAAATAAAATCCTATCATTAAGTAAAATTATGATTCCATTAATTTTTACCTGTACTGGAATGCTTTATGTACTAAAATAATTCAGAAAAATGTTTTTTAAGAAAAAAAATCAATAATTTGGAGAATTAGCATCTAGATGCGCAGAAGTTACGCCAGAAGATTTTGCATGTGGATAAGATCTTTTCGGTTATGGGGAGGACCAAATCTGTGACAGACTAAGTCTTTGGCGGACCAAGCCTATCATAGGCCAAATCCGTAGATTTAATCTGTCAAAGTAGATTGGTTAAAAAAAACGAAGGATAAACGGATATAGTCGGTGGACTTTATTTCTTCATTGTTCGTATATTATATTCATTATATTATACATATATTTATTTCTTTATTGTTCATTAAAAAAAAACATTTATCAATATAAAAACTGCTATGGAACGTCGAACTTTGTCTCAAACCAGAATATTTATTCGGGCAAAGACCCAATTGGCATTTCAGGTCTGCAGACCAAAATAAGAGGGTTTTGGCTCGAAACAGGCCAAGTCCGCAGGCAAGTCTTCTGGTGTATGGGTTGTGGTATGGGGAGCTATTGTCTATCTTAGCGCGGTTCAGACGTATACGAGTTATCGTACGAGTTATCGTAATGTTGCAGATAAAACGTGGCATGTAGACAGCAAGCTTGAACCAATTTTATGCTGGAAGTACACACTCGCCGAGGCGATCCGAGGCGCGACAAATGTTTGGGTTAGGTTATGTTTTTGGTTGTTTTGTTGTGTGTTATTCTCGAGATTAACCGGGTAATGTCGACATTAACCGTAACATATACATGCGGCTATTGGTTATAACCCTCATTGTTAAAAACCGAGTTAGAACCGTCCTTTTTTGACGCGCCTCGGGTCTCCTCGGCGTGTGTACTTCCAGCATTAGAGCTACACAATCACGGAAGAGTGAGTTAAAAGTTTGAGCCTCCGGGCATAGATTTTGGCTGTTTGTACGGCCAGGTCGTAGTGTGTGACGATTTTTTGTAGTTTTATTTAAATTTTAGTCAGCTAATCAAATACAAATAATGTCTGACTCATGGCTATGTTCACATGAGTTCATTGAACTCAGTGAGTTCATTGAACTGTACAAGAATTTCCCTCGCTTATGGTGAGTAAAATCAAAAAGAATACTGTGATAGGGAAAAGGAAAATCAGGCCTTCAAGATTATTATTGAAAAGTTTAAGGAGATATATGGACTCTGAAGCGACTAGGCTAGGGATACACTAACGGAAAAACAAATCACCTAGAACTGTTAACAGAAAAGAATTATCGAAACTTAATAAGTCTATTTGTTCGGGTGCTGGGGATGAACATATTTATACAGGTTGTTAATTTGTTTATTACTCGCGGCAAGAGCTTTATGGTTGAAATATGACAACCTCGGCCCGCTTGTCGATAGACGACGCGACGCGACGGAACGAGTCGGCAGAAAACCCTATAAGTGCGTTCTTGCGTTCTCAATAGGCAGTGTTGCTATTCTGCTCCCCTATAACTAACGTTAATGTCCAGTTAACATTCTGTATACCGTCCCTAGTTGCATACAAATAGCAAAAACTAACCACAACAGTGATGATATGGTAGAATACAAAAGACTGAACGATAAGTTGTTGTAATGTAGACACAATTTGGTCTGTATGTTTTATCTGAAAATGTCTAATCACCAATATAATTAGACATACATCTGGGGTTCATACACATAATTATTTTATATTTATATTAAGTATATATTTATATAGACGTAAATTTGATTTTTCATAAATTTAATTAATTATATTTAATATATATTTATCATTCCATTCTCTTTAAAAGTTCTCATGTATTCTAGTTTAGCAAGATCAGCAGTAGCGGCCGAGCTAAAACCAGGCCAAACATACAACTTTTGACGGAATGGAGAGTCAGCACTGTTATTTACGTAGTTAATAGGTTTTGTATAAATAGATGCAAATATGTCCAATAAAATTAGTATTAAACCAATCATTGTTCTAATCGTTACTAATACAACTATCCTCAAGTTGTAGATTTATTTTGGTCCTTCGAGCCGGATGTAAGCTTGAAGCAAATCGTACCATAAGTCGATACGTGTGGACCGATCTTTAAGTCTATAGAACGAGATAAAAAAGTAATAGGGATTGCAAGATTTTGCCAATCATTTTCAGAAAGTCATTAAAATATCGCGATATAGTATATGTAATTGATATAATTCAAATGAATAATGATCTTGTTATCAAAACGAGGAAACTTACTGTTAAGGTACGTCCAAACAGCGAAGTAAAATAACACAAGAATAAAATAAAATATGAAAAACATTAGTTGTAATTATTGATTTTCCTGGTCTAGACCTAATCTAGAATAAGGCGGCAACCAATTTTCAATGCGCACTCGTTGAAGCTCATTCTCCATACCTCTATATCTCTGGATTCCAATCTCATAGTGTACAAAATTTAAACGAAAAAATCAAATTTATTTCTAGGCAATTTTTTGTCTACGTACATTATTAAAATTCGACAAAGAAATCAAATTTGTCGAGAATATGAAAGCCAACCAATGGTCCTTACGAAATCTTGGACCCGATGGAAAACAATGGTTAAACAAAATTGGATTTATTAGAAGCCTATCTATTGATTATATATGCATACTTTTTTTCATGGTTCTATTTACAGGTTGCTTGGAATTTAAAAATATGCTTCTAGCAACCTATTTGTATGATTTGAACTATATTTTACTAATATTGTTTTACATCGTTTTTATACCTTTGTCGATACCTACTGTATACGTTATAGTAGTGTATCCACTAATTACAGCTTATATAGTATCAATAATCATTACTCAAGTATATTTGCTACATTATCATGTAGTAAGGGCTAATACGATAGCTAGGAGATATTTTTTCCAAAGGCAAGATTATAATGCGTTTGTAAAGATGGCTTTGGCTGTACTGATTGACAGACAATGCGTTTTAAAAAGGTGGTATTGTTTTGGAAATATGAATCTTTAATTTTACATTTTCGTGTTTAATTCTAGTTGGTATACATACTATAAAGAAGCCACTGGGTTAGTTAACATACAGTATATAACTGTACAAATCATTTTTGTCGTATTTGTAGTATACCTTTATTTGAAAGTAAGTTCCCCATAATGAGTAGTTGAATTAGTGACAAAATATTTTTTTTATCAGAATCACATTTATGGAACTACAGTACTAGGTCATTTACTAATACTGGCCGCAATTTCAAGTTATTCTACTATATGTGCTCAACATTGCGAAGATGAGGTATAGTGTAACTAGACATTCTTGAATACACACAATTAACATCAGGGGTGGATAGGGAAGTGGAAACCGGCCCGGGAAAAACAGGCAACCGGCCCAAATCCACAAAAACAAAATGACCATAACAAAGAGACATATTTTATTTATTAATATTATAAGTAAGGGTGTTTTTCGCTCGTGCGAAAAAAGCTCTTTTACATCCGGTTTTAAAAAAATAATTAAATTGTCTTGATCAAAATTTTCGTAAAGACCAATACTGGGTC